CTCACACTTCTTATCACTTCAAAAGGTTTTTTTCCCTCTTACTTAATTGGCCTCTCAGAGTTGGTAAGACAACTCCCACCTCTTCATGCTCTCTGTATGTGTGTATATATATCTCCTCAATATATGTTCCATTCTATGCATCCGAAGAAGTGGGCTGTAGCCCACGAAAGCTTATGCTCTAATAAATTTGTTAGTCTCTAAGGTGCCACAAGTACTCCTGTTCTTCTTTTTGCGGATACAGACTAACACGGCTGCTACTCTGAAACCTGGGATTTTAAAGACACCCATGCTGCTGACCTCAGCTTTAGGGCACAAAGCCAGAGTTCCACAAACAGGGTGGGCTGGACTTCCTATATCCCACAAGAGTAAGGGACAAAGCCAGGTCACGGTAGCTCCCAGACTCAGAAAGTCTCTCTCTCTCTCTGAGATCCAGGAGAGCAGAGTTGCTTAGATTTGTAATTCTTCCAGTCAGCCATGTCTGTAGTCCTGGCTTCTGGGCAGGTCTGTTGGCAAACAGGGAAGGATAGATACAGATCACTCTCCAGCAGATACCGAGCTGCATTATCACAGGCCCAGGAATCAAGCCCAAGTCTCCTCCTTGATGTTACAGATATGTCACACAATGGATTCAGGGAGTCTGAATTAAAATACAGGTTATTTGCTCCTCATTACTCCAGCACCTCAGAAGAGTTCCGAAATCGAAATGTACAGGAGACCACGTCACTCTCTGCAGAAAGCAGAAGTGCGGATGTACCTTTAAGGGATAATGGGATGAATGCATGAGGAAGGCCATTACCGCCGTGCTGCTCCGACTTAGACCCAGGGTAGAGAAAACCAGAACTGCTCCAAGAGTCATCTGAGCATCTAACCAAAGAAAAGTGCATTACAAATTAGTGTCTTGAAAAATCAAAGCCAGAGAACTCTCCCCACTCCTCTTATTTTTTAAATAGACCTAGAGACACAAGCCCGCTTAAACCACTGAATAGGTACAGCTGGGCAGTGTCAGGACACGTTTCTCTACACCACCCCAGAGGGGTCTGTCCTGGATGGATTGGGTTAAGAAGTTAGCTTTTGGACCTAAGTTAGCCTAAGTGTAGACGAGTATGGAAAACTGAAGTTGCTAGTGCGAGAAATTAGAGTGTTATGGGAAAGTAAGAGTTAGCAAGGATCTGATTCAGGGTCATGTCACTGTTATGTTCTCATTATAACTAGTTTAAGCAACGTTTTTAATGAGTGTTTTTGAGAAATGTGAATGTTTTATTAAAACGCTATCAATACTGACAGTGTAGGAAGGACATTGGTGCAGATGTTAATTTAAATAATATGTAAAATAAAGAGCCAATAAGGATCCCACAGCTGAATAGGGGCCAGATCCCACTCTAGGGAGCACAGATGTGTGTGACTTGTGGGGGGTGGGAGGGAGGGAGCTCACAGGAGGAAGTTAAGAAGAAATTTGGGGAGTACAGGAGTGTCTCCTCACTGATCACATGGGAGGGTTTGCCCAGAACAGATTTGCTGGGTTGGCGTCTGTGCTCCCAGGCACCCAGCCCGTGGCTCAAGTTTTAAGAGGGAAATGTGTAACTGACCTCCCAGAAGGGAGCAGTCAGACAACTGACCTTTTGGGAACAGAGAGAGGCGTGACAGAGGGTACCCCAATACAGGTCCCACTTTTTCAAAATGCTGTTCCTAGTGTACTTGTGAAAACTAACTCTCTTTAAGACAGGATAAGAATCCTACTAACGACTTGGGTGTCAGTGAAAATGCTAATGACCCACCTGAGAAAGGGGAGGAGGAAGCAATCTCCCGGGCAGGTGAAATCCACCCAGAAACTAAGCAAAAGCTGCTGAGAGAAGGGGTTGGGGAAAGTTCCAATATTTGGAGTGAAAATTACAAAGAAGCCTAGAAGGGAGGGTGGATTTTTTGCATGGGCACAGCCCTGGAGATGGAATGCAGCTCCACAGGGGACCGACCAGTTAACAGCAGTAATAGCTGGCACAGCAGAAAAAGCATAACAAACCTAGACTGCTTGTGTGGAAGGGGAAACTGAGGCACGCTGTCTCATGGCATTGGTGGCTAAATGCCAAGACACCTACACTCCAAAGATATTGAGATCTGCATTGTGTTAACAATGCTACACACAAAAATGTTTTCAGGCATCCTGGGAAAAGAAACACAGAACTTTGCTAAAACTCCTGTGGATGACACGCCAATGTTTGTTAAAACTTGGGAGTTGTATAACCAAGACCTAAGGAGGACATCAGGCACACTGCCTTCGCATTAGTCAGTGACTAACCCTCTGGCAGTAATCTAAGGGGGCAGGTGTGACACTTTGCCCCATATTCTTCATAGAGATATGGTTATGGTATGATTATGGCATAACTAAGATGCATTTTATGCAAGATAGGTCAGGTGAGGTATCATTGAAAAGGTTATGATTCACTGAATATGATTATCTTATTTGTATGCATGTATCATTTTTGTATCTAAAGTTAGGAATATTGTCTATGCATTTATTACAAATGTGTTTACACCTGAAGAACCCCCACTAGGCAGAATGCAATCAATCTAGATTGCTGGCTGGAAAGGGCCATTAAGGAGAACAATAGGTCTTGGAAAATGCTAATCTCTCACCAGAGAGCAATCCTGAGAAGCCTTCCTGAAGACCTTACAGACAGCCTCTGTCTCATGGCTGCTGTGGTCCTACAGAGACATGTGACCAAGTCACCTGGTACTGGACTCCATGATAATACAAGTGTTTTTCCATTGAGGGGGTGTGGGAATCAAACTGGGAGACAAAGGATTCCCGCCAGGGGTGAAAGTAAAGCAGTACGGGCCGGTACGGCGTACCGTTAAAAGGTGGCCGTCGGTACCAGCCCCTACCACCTTACTTTAAAACACTGCCATGGGAGCACGCGGAGCTGGTTGCCGTACCACTAAGTTTTCAATTTTACTTTCACCCCTGGTTCCCACCATATGTAAAACCTATTCAAGGTAGGGGAGTGACATCATCATGGTTCCTTCATCACTGACTCCCTGCCCAAGAAAGAAGTCTGCTGAAAACACCTGAGAAACAAAAGACTGAACTTGGGGGAAGGGCTGAGCCCAGGCTAGAGGGTTTACTAGCCTGTGAAAGGAATATCTGGAGTTTTAAGCTGCTAGCAAGTGCAGCTTGCCTTCAAGAATCTCTGCAATCTGCCTAAAACAACATTCAGAGTGAGAATTTTCTACTTATAACCGATTCATTAAGCTTAGACTGTGTTTTTTGTTTTATTTGCTAGGTAATCTGCTTTGATCTATTTGCTATCCCTTATAATTACTTAAAATCTATCTTTTGTGGTTAATAAATTTGTTTTTATTTTGTCTAAAACCAGTGTGTGGAAATCATAACTTGGGGCAGAAAGCGGTGTATAGGCCTCTCCACTTTGAGGGAGGGCACGAATTTCATGAGCTTACACTATACAGTTCTCTGTGCAGCGCAAGATGGTATAATTTGGGGTTTACCCTCTAAAGGGGGGTGCATGCCTTAGGAATTGGGAGGTGCCTTAGCTTTGCCTTCCCGTGCAGAGGTTGGTTAAAGAACCTGTGTGTGTAGTGCTGAGTGTGTCCCTACCTATGTGTATGCTGGTGAATTAGCAAGCTTGGAGAGCTTAGCAACTTGTCACAGCATTACAGGGTGAAAAGGGAGTCCAGGCTGGTGGATCAGGCGGGCTCAGTGGTACCCCAGTTCCAGGCGGCATCCCGAGAGGGGGGAACCCATCACACCAGTAAATGGACTGAACAGCTCCAGTTGGGACCATGCTTCTAGGTGTCTAAAAGACTACGAACCTCCACACTCAAAAGAACAGTGTGCACACTTGATAGTTATAGATCAGAATCCACTCACCTATGAAGTGACAAATGGTGGGAAAAAAGGAAAAAAGATCTGCATCGGGAGAATCTGCCACAGAAACATGAAGAAGTGTTTTGCTTTCATCTGTGAAACTGGAAAGGGAGCACACAGGAGAGATGTTAAACAGGCCAATAAAATAGTTCTGCCAAATTCTACTTGCCTGGGGCAAATCAGCCATATTTTATTTGACGTTACATAAGTAATAACTTTTCATTGTCATCATCATAGCAAGGAACAGTGAGTAAGACACTGAGGCTACATTAGGTGCATAACCAATAGTTCCATTATCAGTCAGCCAACCTAAACTGTGTTAGTATTTATGTATTAACATGACCCTATAGTATGTTCTACCTGAGAGCTTGATGAAGGCAGATAGCTGAAAAAACTGTTCTTTCATGTCATACATGTTTTGGGAGTTTCCTAAATATATAATTAATGTACACAGACGCTGCTTCATGTGGTTTCTTATTAAGGTGTCATACACCTTACAACATATCTCATCTCACTGAGAAACGGCTGCAAAACAACAAAGAGGAATTTTTAAGCTATGCAGATGCATTACATGTAATGAACAGTGACTTAGAGCTGAGAGGAAGCCCAGTTCTCTGAGATTTTTGAGGGCTCTCTTTGGAGCCAGATACACAAGAAATGCTTGGCTATTGGTAAAACTGGCTACACAAATGTAGCCGGGCAGAAAGCTATATTCGTCCTCACTCGTCACATCCTTGCAAAATGTCTCTGGGTTTTTGGCTGTATCGAGCTGTAGTTCTAATATAGCTCGCCCACTGACTCGAGTGGCTAGTCAAATAGCTTCAGTCAGTGACAAATACAGAAAAAGAAGGAAGAGAAATCACACAAAAGGTAAATGAATTGCATTTAAAAGCATGTTGGTTTGTACATTTTCCTCTTAAATGTAGCATTAGGTTCATTGTGAAGATTGGCGTTGAACTCCTAGGCCCAGATTCTTACAGGTATTTAGATGCCTAATTTCCATTGATTTCAATGGGAGGTAAGCACCTCGGTACCTCTGAGGATCTGGGTCCCAGTGATAATGATCCCATTCTTGCTCTACATAGTCTCACTTCTTCTGAGTTACGGTAGGCTGAGGCAGTAACAAGTCATTGTTTTGCAACCTCTAAAGTAGAGAAGTCAGAAGAACAAGCTTTAAATAGCTTTAAGTTTATCCCATACTTCTAATCACCATCCTACTCTGACTGAATGAGTATCTCACAAGGTTCCTGGAAGGTCCACAAACATGCAGCTTCTGCTACTGGGCTCCCGTGCTGTACTGCATCACTTGGCAGCTTTTCACACACACAACCGTCGATGCAAATCCAACTGGATTGATTGACTTACAGTGTTGCAATCTCCTCTGAGATGTTGACTTGTGCTTTGATTTTCAGATCCTTCTGAATCTGTTGGTCGCAGGCCTGCCTGCAATTTCCCATATATAACTGAGCCGGCAATATCTCTACAGGGTATGGCTGAAAAGCATCCAGTTCCTACACAAGAGAAACAAAAGGATTAATACAGTTGAAAGAACTGTCTATTTGCCTTCATATATCTATTTCTAGATCTATTTGCCTTCATCTTAGCTTGGAAAGTTCTTAGACCTGAATCCTGAGAAGAAAGGAACCAGTGCTCAGTCAACGTCCTACACCTACATTCAAACAGAAATGGGGTACATTCACTTAATCGGACAGATATTCTGAAGAACAGACGTTATCACTAGACTCAGTCAATGAAATGAACATGGTCACTGCCAATGTGGCCCTGCTGGAATAAAAAAAAAGAATAAGAGATAGACTATGTCCTTTGTAATGCAGGGAAGGACACTAGTACCTCAGATTAATTAGAGTTTGCTAATTACTTGGTCCAAGACCAAATGAAACCACTTGTCAACCCGGACTGGCAGGTGTAGTGTGACTGCATAACACAACTTCAACTCATCGCTCCTACCAGAGCAGGAAAAATTCTGAGCATAGCTTAGCACAGCCTACTGTTTGGGCAACATGAAGGCTAAGGACAAAATTCTGTAGCCGTGCCAAGAGTGGAAGGGAAAATAGTTGAGTAGTGACTATGCACCAGTGTTCACCACTGAAATGCAGCCCTCACTAGAGTGAAACACAATAGCTGTTTGACAGCACAAAGCAGCACTGAACAATGGTTTAGAGAAGGAAGTATAGGAGAATGCCGTATCCAACTGTAATTGCAGGGAGAATTGAGGTAGATGGCGTGTCAGACATCATAAAGAAGCAAAAAAGGTCACCAAACAATTTATTTTCTCCTTTGCAGATCACTCGTAAGCCACTTTATTAAGCCAGCATAACTGGACACTACACAGGCCAGCAATTTATTACACACCTTATGTGAAACAGAAGGAGTAACAGAAAGCAAAGACATATTGCAGAGACACATCACTACCTTTTTTTTTTAAGCCTTGTCCTAGATGTTAAAGTGGGATGCTTATCTCTCATAGTCTAAGCAGGCTCCAGACAGGTTAATGTTTGGGTAAGAGACCAGAACAGGATGCTGTTGGAAATAATGTAAGTGACTGAATAGGTGGCACTTTTCTCCCTGAGTCAATACTTGAAAAAATGTATCAGTTTGCTTTGTGATCCTTTGGGATGAAAGCCATTGCATATAAGAAGTTATTAAAGACATATCTTAAAAAAAACAGTCACAATTTCTGCCCAAACATGTTTACCTGCTATTGTTATAACACCTCAGATTACTATAACTGAAAGATGTGTTTAATCTAACAGCACTTTACGGTTAGTCAGTTTCCCATGTTGGTTTTGTGAGTTTTTCCACAGAACATCAGGAAGAGAAAAATAGATACTTGTGCTTGTAAAAGAACAAAAATTAGCAGAGGGACTCCAGGGCCAGGGTATTACTTGAAATGACTTTTGACTCCTTTTTTAAAATTGACTGGACATCAGATTGACAGTGTCCCTTTAATTATTACTAGGGAATTCACTGGAATTAGTTGAATGTACATAGAAAAATTCTATTTATAGCTGAAGACCTGGCCCGTCTCTCCAATAATCTCACCTGAGGCATCCAGAATATCTTCTGAGTCCTCAAGAAATGGTAGCACGCAGTGAAGCGCTCATACCCTCCTTTCAGGATGCGGACTGGGTGGCGGGTGAACTGCTCTAAGACTCTGGCACACTGGATGGCAGCCCCTACCTCAGCATCTAAAGACATGGAAAAGCTATTACACATGGTTACTGCAGGGAATCGGATGGGGAGAGGGTTATTTCCAACAGGCCCTGAGTACTTGGGGTGAAATCGTAACCCTAGACATCAGTAACTAAACTCCCTTTGGCTTCACTGGGGCCAGGATTTCACCCCGATGTCTGAAGGACCTTGAGAGAGCAGGATTAAAAGCTACAATCACTCTCCAGCCATTGCTGCTGCAAGGAAGCCACCGGGGATGTTTCTGACATTCCCTACGAACCTCTTGTCTGGAGAGCTCCCTTTTTTCTATTGTCATATTTTTTTTTCTTCCTCTTGTTCCTGTCATATCAAAGACAAGGTATGTGTTTGTTCACTTCTTAGGCCTGGTCTACACTAGGAAATTTGTTCAGGATAACGACATCGCTCAGGGGTGTGAAAAATCACACTGTGCTGCTGTATGCATAGACAAGCCTTTAGTTAGGTCTTATGGACAATTTTATCAAATCTGCAACTAGCTGGATTTTAAGAATTCACAAAGCTATTTTTAACAAACTAGCAGTTAAAATCTCAACTTTCTTAGCTTTGTCAGTTTCAAACTAACGCCTGAAACAAGGTGAAATGTGCTGAAAGTGGATCATGTCCTCTTAAAAACATCTGTGTTTGCAAAATACTTCTATGCTAACTAGAACCGTTATAGTCACTTTGCAACACCAGATAATGGGGGGCAGGGGAGATCTAGAAGCAAGGACTGTGATTCTGCAATGAGCTGCAAGGTCACCACAAGTTCAGGGTCTAAAAGGTAATCTGCCGTTTGGGAAAAATAATTTCAGTGTTTCCTGGTATCTTTAAATTAACTCAACAGATGCACAAAGCTATCAGTGCCATGATCTGCGTTTTATTCTCTGGGTTTCCAGACCTAAGCATTTACCACAGAACTTCATCTAATTACTACTCTCATTAAAGATAAGTCCTATTTTTGTTACTGTGATAATGCAAATTCTTCTTTTTTTGTATCCTGAGCTTACTAATAAAAAGAAAGAACTCACTTTGTGAACACGAAGAACTGGATTCATCTCCTGCGATCTCTGAGGCAGCTTTAGTCCCTAAAAAGCAATAAATAAACACACTAAACCCTAGTTGAACTGGGAAAAATAGCCTCTTTTCCACTTAAATGATTTTGAAAGCGAAGGGTTCACATATTGAAAGATGAGCCAGTCTAGACCCAGGGACCTTGAAAGAAAATCTGGATTTATAAAGCCTAGAATAGAACATGTGAAATATTATGACAGACAGAGGCTTATTGATGGTGTAATGTTACCAAAATCAAGGCTGTGCACTTAAGTATTCTTGTCAAGTTATTTGAAAGAGAAATAAACATACCTTTTTCATCCTCCTTCTTCTCTTCGTAATCATCATAATAGATATCATCCAAAGAGCTGGTTTTGCCATCATACACGACACAATATTTGACACACTCCAGCTCAACTGAGTCAGGTACCAGATAATCCCCCATAGGATTCTAGCAAAACCACAAAAGAATCTTATTACGAGGGGGACTGCGTTTTTCCTCATGGAACTATCCCTAGCAATTTCTTCCAAATTATCATTATACCTTATTTTGAAGAAAGTGGGCGGAATTCAGAAGTGATGTAAGTTACATGTCAGCAAGTGGGTCTGGGTCTAAGTCTATGGGAGCGCTAGGGTGGTGTGTAACTTATACGCTGAGGAACTGCAAGAAGATGTAAGTTACACCAACTCATTCCTGATTCACTGTTGCCTCTCACCCTAAGCAATCATTTACCCCAGTGTAAAGTTGGTATAACTACTTCAGAATGGTAGTGATTTACCTCTACATTGCACAGGTGTAAATGCAAAGCAGTGGACAGTGTGGCCTCCTCCGAGTCACCCCTTTGTTTCATCCTGTCTTTTGAGCATCAGCTTTCTTCCCCAGATCTCTGAATGTGTTTTTCCCTAAGTTGGCAGCCTCCAGCCCTGCAGTATTTATTTCTCATTGCAATGGTCACCATGGAACTATTTTAGACCAGCTCAAGTGTTCCTATTTTCTTGAAATCGTCACTTGTACTTTCTATTGAATGCAGTGATGTTCACCAGTGAATGCACTTAAGGCTGAGATTTGCAAAGCCACCTAAGGGAGTTAGAAGAACAGTTCCTATTAATGGGACTTGTGTATCTAACTCCTTTAGGTGAATCCCAGAAGTTAGAGATGGAAAAGACCTAGGAGGTCATTTTGTTGGCCTACCTGCCAATACAGTAGATTTTTGAATGCTTTGTCCTCTCTAATGTTAGACATCTCAAGCGACGAGGGTTTCACCTCAGCCCTTTGTGAGACAACTCTGCAATAGCTCTTATTGCTGGAATATTCTTCCTGATATTCAACTTCAATGTCTCCCTTCTTTAGGCTACTGTAATCTCACTTCCCCTCTTTTCTACCCCAATCTGCATCACCTCTCGTGGGATAAATCAAACATTCCAAAATCAGGCAGGAGAGAGACTGGAGCAGTTCCTCATCCTTTTTGGCTAATTCTATCTCACTGCTAAATGCCGACTCCTAGAATCATCAGTGTGTGTGACTCATTAATGACCCAGAGCATTCACCCCTGCTGGAACACAGGGATACAAAGTGTTCTCTTCCCACGACAGCAGGGCCTGCTATGCCTGAGAAAGATACCTCCCTGAGAAGCCTAAGTGGTGTTTGCATTGCGACTTTCTGTAGGAGGGACAGCTCAACTTGCTGTCAGCTCCCTGGAGCCCTTCTGGTGACACTGACCAGGTGATATGCTCATTAGGGCACCCCGCCCTCCCCCCAGCCAGAACAGAAGGTCATGGACAGCACACATGAATGATAAACCCGCTTGAAACCACAACTTACCTGTTTAACCCTTCTTGCTGTAATCACATGGCTTTCATTGTACTCACGCTTTGTACGGGCATCTGAAAATAACAATGAAGATTGTGTGAATGGTTTACATAGTGCCTTCAAGGCAGAATCCAGCTCCTTATGAAGCCAATGGGAGTTTAGACTGCAAAGAGCTCTACAAATCTTACAACTAGATACCCACCACCGAAATACAGATTGTATAAATTTCTTCATGGGATTCCATGTTTATTGTGCCTATTGACTTTCAGATTAAATGTCTCAGTTTGCAAGCAAAACAATGTTTTTTTCAAGATGTCCGCCTTATGAATTTAATCTGGGATCTGAAAATCAAGCTGCATTATTTCCATCTCACTACCACTAATCAAGATTCTGCAGGATCAAAGTCTGCAGTCATGGCACAGAGATTGCATAAATGTAATACAGGGCAGAATTTGATGCTGCAACTGGAATTTAGCAAACAATTCTATTGATGATGCAAAAGTCAGACTAGAATCCAGCTATTTCTCCCATAACTCTATTCTTCTGCTGTGCTAACCCAAATAATAGTTACAATTTATTTTAGAGACTAACAAATTTATTAGAGCATAAGCTTTCGTGGACTACAGCCCACTTCTTCGGATGCGAAAGCTTATGCTCTAATAAATTTGTTAGTCTCTAAGGTGCCACAAGTACTCCTGTTCTTTTTGCGGATACAGACTAACACGGCTGCTACTCTGAAACAATTTATTTTGTCATTACATTAAATAGATATGATGGAATGCACCCAGAGAGCAAGTACGTGGAGTACATAGGTGCCATTTTTACATCACCATTTTTATAATATGGCAACATTAAAACAATGTCTATGAAAAATTCCTAAATGCATTAGGAGTTCCTATTATAAAATAATATAATAACTCTCATTAACATTTATATAGCACTTCATATGTTCAAAGCACCGAACAAACATTAACTAATTATTCCTCCCAACAACTCTGTGAGGATGGCACTATTAGCTGGTGAAATCCATCACAGGTGTAACTGAATGGATTTACGCCAGGGATGAATCTGGCCCATTATCTCTATTTGACTGAAGGGAAACTGAGACACTGATGGCCAATTCAGAGGTGATATAAATGGGGTTGTAAGTTGCACCCAGATAAGGTGACTTAAGGGTGTTTAACATGGTGTAATTTTCATGCTGAGGGGGTGGGACTGGAGAGTGGTGTGTCAGATAAAGCAAATAATAGAAATTGGTAACAAAGCAGGAGGTGTCTGCTTTATCTTAAGCCTTCCTATGTTTCCCTGTTAGTTGCTTTTCCTGTTATACCCCTTTCTTCCATCCCCACAGCAAGTACGTTACACCTGCTTAAAGGCATGCAATTAATACTTTCATTTACACCATTTCTAAATTTAGTCCAGAGAGATTAAGTGGACAGCAGCAGAGCAAGCAGTGGAACTCAGTCTCTTCCTGGGTTCCAGTCACATGCTCAGTCCTCAAGACCATTCTGCCTCTTCTAAGGCTCTGTCTGCACTGCAAATAAAGGTGTATTCATTACATTAAAACACCTATTCTGTGAAAGCCACCTCAATGTGAAATCCTAGTGGACACAAGTCAACTCCTGTGTCTTGTCTCACCTCGGCTTTCACATTGAGATGCTTATCTCCAAATAGTTATCTCGACGTAAAACACATCTTTATTTGCGGTGAAGACACAGCCTAAGAGAAATAGGTCTTCCAAATTTTAATCAAAGATGCAGTAAAATACTAACTGCTATACATAAAATCACAGTGACCCACAAAGATCTCTTCAGATTAGCAGCCGTGTTAGTCTGTATCTGCAAAAAGAACAGGAGTACTTGTGGCATCTTAGAGACTAACGAATTTATTTGAGTATAAGCTTTCGTGGGCTACAGCCCACTTCATCGGATACATGCAGTGGAAAATATAGTAAGAAGATATAGATATATATACACACACACAGAGAGAACATGAAACAATGGGTGTTACCATACACGCTATAAGGAGAGTGATCAGTTAAGGTGAGCTATTATCAGCAGGAGAGGAAAAGAACTGTTTGTAGTGGTAATGAAAATGGTCCATTTCCAGCAATTGACAAGAAGATGTGAGGAACTGTGGGGGGGAAATTTCCCCATGCTTATTTTTTCCCCCCTGCAGTTCCTCACATCTTCTTGTCAATTGCTGGAAATGGGCCATTTTCATTATCACTACAAACAGTCCTTTTTCTCTCCTGCTGATAATTGCTCACCTTAACTGATCACTCTCCTTATAGTGAAAGAACAGGAGTACTTGTGGCACCTTAGAGACTAACAAATTATTTTTAAGGATACAGACTAACACGGCTGCTACTCTGAAACCTCGCCTTATAGTGTGTATGGTAGCACCCATTGTTTCATGTTCTCTGTGTATACATATATTCCTACTGTATTTTCCACTGCATGCATCCGATGAAGTGGGCTGTAGCCCACGAAAGCTTATACTCAAATAAATGTGTTAGTCTCTAAGGTGCCACAAGTACTCCTGTTCTTTTTACAAAGATCTTTGGGCACCATACAATCACATGCATGCTAATGGTTTAAGCAGGACTAAAGGACCTATCCCTGTTGCCCTGAACCTTGTACAGACATGAACACAAGTGCAAAGGGCCTGATTCAACTCCCATTACTGTTAATAGGCATCTTTTCACTGACTTTTATGGCAGTTGGGTCACTCCCAAAGCACATACAAAGTTTTCCAACAATCTAGCCCCAATAATTAAACAAAAGAATGACCTATATGACAAATTGCACAATAAAAATACATATCAACACTCTCATTAGCTTACCCAGTAAACAGAGATAGTTAGGCTCAGTTAACCTGGAGAGCTTCGTGGACTGGTTCAAGATGTTGTAAAGCTCTGTGGGCTCACAGAGAACCAACCCTGCCATTTTACTGAATGGAAATAATAATTAAAGTAAATACATTCTTAAAAGGTGAGTTCTTGCAAAGTAACCAAGCTAACGTGAAGAATTTACTTTTTATCCGTTTCAGCTCATCTGTGAATGAAAACAATCGCTTTGAGCCCAAGCTTGAGTCCTTAAATCCTTGCCTTCATAAGGGATATTTGCTCCATGAGAACTGCAAGATCAGGCTTTTTAAAATATAGAGGTCAGAATTCAATCTAAAAAAATCTAATTTAAATAGTGAAATAGAAAAATGGAATATGATGTACAGAGCATCCACACCTGTGCACATCACTCAGATATGAAATGAACACGGAGAGATCCTATTGCCTAAAATCAGGACTTACATTTCTTAAAATTGTTTTCTTGGAGAAAAAAATCCATGTTCAGCATTTGTATATTTAGGAACTGATCTTGAGTGGTGCTGAGACTGACTCCACTGGCAGAGGTAGGAGCTCAGCATTTCACAGGCTTGGGGTCATGGCCATTAACAATTTATTTCTCAGTAACTTAGAAACGTGTTCCCCAAGTATCAGTGTTGTTAGGAAACAGAATAGATAGACATCACTCCTGCAGGCAATGGGAGACTGAAAAGCCTGAGATCTTCCTCTGACCAGATCAAATCTTCCCCGCCCTCCATCCCCTTGGAGGTTCTCTCTATATTTTGTAAACAAAAAAAAATTACATCACAGTTCAATAAATACAAAATAAAACAATATGCCCCCAGCGGTAAGTGATCCAGACAAAGGCTGGGGCTCCAGAACTCCACATTAAACGTCACCTTTGCAGCTTGCACAGGTTCTCCCACTCCGTTCACTGCCACTTCCGTGGAGTTGGTAGCCGTAGTACCCAGGGTGTCTGTTGCTATGGCATCTGTTGCCATGGCACCTATCACATCTGTGGCATCTGTTGCCATGGCACCCATGGAGATTTATTACCATGACACCTGTGGCATCTGTTGCCATGGAACCTATGACCTTTGTTGCCATGGCACCCATGGAGGTCTGTTGCCATGACACCCGTGGCACCTGCAGCTGTGCCCCCTGTGGTACCCATTATGACTGTCAAGATCGCGCTAGCTCAGGGAGGGGTCTTCAAAGCCCTGGGCCCGGTCCCATTCCCATCTCACCTCCTGGTTGCTACGCAGCGACGCTCGGCCGTAACCAAGGCTGACGTCACTTGGGACCACCCCTTGCCCAGCTCTCGCGATCCTGTGGTGGGCGCAGTCTCGGCCCGGGCGCGCCTTGAGCGCGAAATCTCGCGGTGCTTCGGGGCTGTCTCGCGTTGCCCGCAGGCCGGAGGCGATCTCGCGGTGCTGGCTTGCGCGCTGCCTGTGGTGGAGGTCGTTGGAGTCACCGTCCCGGGCCCGTCATGCTGCTCGCCCGCCTCAGCGGCCCCGCCGCCGCGCTCCGCAAGGGGATCGCCACCTCGGCGCAGGTACCGGCCGGCCGGGCGGGGGCGCGAGGCCTGGCCCAGCCCCCCCGCACCCCCGCCCCGGCTCCGCCTGCGGCCTCGGACCCTTCCCCCCTCCCCCGCGTGCAGCCGGGGGGCGCGGGCCTGGCCCTGCCCCCCCTACCCTCCCCCCGGCTCTGCCTGCGGCCTCGGACCCTTCCCCCTTCCCCCGCGTGCAGCCGGGGGGCGCGGGCCTGGCCCGGGCGGGCTGCGCTTTGCTGTGCGCAAGGGGGGTCGCTGCCCCCCCCGGACCCGACTGCTGGTGTGAAGGGGGGTCCCCGCGCGGCGCCTTTCACCCGAGGGGCGCAGCTTTGGCCACGAGCCCCCCTCTTCCAGGCAGCCCCGCCTGGGCACCCGGGAGCGCTGGCTGCAGGCAGCCCCCTCCCCCGCCCCCTTCCCCTCTCCAGATGGGGGAATCGAGGCACAGGCCGGGGTGTGACTTCCCCAAGGTCACCCCGCCCATCCGAGCCCTGGCTGTGAGGCCGCGCTCCCCCCAGCTACATCGCTCGCTTCTCCATCCTTCTTCCCCTTGACGCGGGGTCGCAGGTGCCAGCGAGTCTTCCCCACGCCCTGCGGCCCCGTGGCGTGAGTTTGTAGGTTTTCGACTTCAGGCTTTTTCTCTTCAAATGTCTCTTGACACGGTCTTTCCATCATCTCTCTGCTCCTGCTCCTCCTTTTCTGCCGTCCTTCTTCCCTTACTTTCTTTACTTGTTACTTTTCTCCCACTCTTATCCTATGTCAAGCCTGCCTGAGTGTGTACTCTCCCGCCTGTCTCCCGGGAGATCAATCAGATGTGTTAATGGAGTCTTTTCAATATAACTCTACTATGCTAATGGCATGTGTAGACAGTTATGGTGTTACTCTGCTTGTTAAATTGAATACTTACGTTTAAATGACAAGTATTAACTTGAGAGACCAGGTGGACGAGTTAATACCTTTTATTGGACCAACTGTGGTCCAATAAACTTCTGTGTGGCTCGAAAGCTTCTCTTTCACCAACAGAAGCTGCTCCAATAAAAGATATTACCTCACTCACCTTGTCTTTCTAATATTCTGGGACCAGCATGGCTTCAACCACACTGCAACCAAGTATTAACTTATTTAAGTCGGATCTCATGTTAAATAGTTACTACAAACAACAAAGCAGATTAGAAATGGGCCAGAAATCCTGGAGTGAAAGATGGAGCATATTGGGCATCTTTAGGTGTCCAGCCACATAAATAGTTGACACTGGGCCACAAAATAAACGTGCCATTTTGCTTCTCTATCCCTTTGGCGATTCCCTTCTGATCAGGACAGAAGTGGACTCTCATTGGTCAGATGTAGCTAGTAATCAGCAAGTGTGTGGCAACTGAGTATTGACAACATTTAATGGAGTTGAGAGATAGATTAGTATTGATTACTTCAATCCTTTCCTGAACATAAGCATCTAATTGTTTCAAAATAGTGATAAGAACAGGAGTACTTGTGGCACCTTAGAGACTAACAAATTTATTAGAGCATAAGCTTTCGTG